AGGCTTTTATAGGCAAATGGTCACAACTAGAGACCATACTCATAAGCGAAATAAATCAAACATACATGTGCAAGCACCGCATTGTTTCTCTAGTGTAAAGCTTGAAAGGGTTAATTTAATCTAGGAGATATGATAGACATTGAGAAGTGATAGGAAAGAACTCATAGGTAAAGGATAACTGGGTTATGGTCTGCCTACTTATAACTGCTTCAGGCAGAGAAGGGGAGTTGTGCCTGCCTTACCAGGGATCAGATATCTCACCCTGACTGATCTAAAGGTGACAAAGGAAGATGGGTTAGATTGTTTGATGGATTGTCTTCTTTTGACAGACTGGAAAAAAGTACAGGAACATTAGCAAGTTCTTGCTGCTTTAAGCTTCATTATATAACCATATTAAACAAGCAGGAGCCAGGTAGTAAAAGTAGATTATTGATGAATAGTGACTCCAAAAATAAATAGTAGAAGTCAGTAGTGTTTGGTGCGATCCTTTTGTTTTTAGTGTTTACGTGACACTTAGACCATTTCAAATAGAACTTGACAACCACATACTGAATTCAGGTCATCCATGCAATGGTAATTAAGTGAATGCTGATGTGAATAACTAAGTGAATGAAATGGGCCACCACTTATGCAAATAATGCTTTATGTTAAAGCATGTGCTCACATATTAATTTTTACGTCTTCATATATTGATACGTTTCTGTGATTTTTTTTTTTTGTACATGAAAGTTTACCTTTAATGTTCTTTCTGTTTAAAGGTACTAGTACTTGGAAATAAGAGAGATCTTCCAAATGCCTTGGATGAGAAACAGCTAATTGAAAAAATGTATGTTTTAAGAATGAGTAATATTGTTTTAAAAATTTGATCCTAAATTACACTATTTTGCCTGTTATTTTATTTTGTTTACTATCATTGTATTCTTCAGTAATGATCATAACCATGTTTTTAGTAGGTAAATTTGGCTAGCAGAGAAATGAATCCCTAAAAGTTCAGTAATTATAAAATATGTTGTTCAGCATAGTAATGAAAATAACACATAAAATTGAGCAAAAAATGGTAAATATAACAACTATTCTAAGCACAGACTTACTGTTTTAATCCTGCTTCTTACAGGAATCTGTCTGCTATTCAGGATAGAGAAATTTGCTGCTATTCAATTTCTTGCAAAGAAAAGGATAATATAGGTAAGAAATGACTTACTTTTTAAAGAAGTGGGTAATACTGGAAGATACATGTGATGCTTCTTACTGTTTATTATCCCCATTTCTGTTAAAGTGACTTTCTTTACAACGTAATCTTGCTGTTGCTTCTGGAAAAAACTTACACATTATACCCATTGATAACAACTATAACATCTTAAATCTTTTCTATGCTATTTAAAGATATAAATGCAGTACAGCCTTGAGCTTAAGCATTATGTGAAACCAATTTATTGTATGAATTTTTACAGAGCTAGTATTCAGCTGTGCTTTGTAACAAAATGGCATTTTTGAAATAAGACTATGAAACTTGGTCTGTAGGCATTATAACATTTTCTCATTTATCTTACAAAAATATGTGAGCATTCTGTTAGAAGTGGCAGCCAAAAATACCTTTTATCTACTTGATATCTATACTAATTTCTTAAAACTCCAAAAGAAAGTACTATAAACTAGATGGTTTAAAACAACAGAAACTGATAGCCAGGCCTGGGTGTGCGTGCCTGTAATCCTAGCACTTGGGAGACTGAGGCAGGAAGAGTGCAGTGAGTTGGAGGCCAACCTGAGCAACATAGTGAGTTCAGTGTCAGCCCGAACTGCAAGCCTGAACTGCAGAGCAAGACCCTGTCTCAAAAACAAAAACCAAAAGACCCAGAAGCTGGCTTGGGAATATATAGCTCAGTAGTGCTTACTTAGTATGCAGGAGACCTCAGGTTTAATCCCCAGTACTCCAAAAGTAAAACTAAAGTCCCAGAAACTTTTTCTATCATACCCAGGAGGCTAGGAATCTAAAATCAAGGTGTCAGCAGTGTCGTATATCGTCTATCCAGAGGCTTAGGGGAGGTTGCCTGTTTCTAGCTTGTGCTCAGTGCCAGCAACTCTTGCCACTCCTTGGCTTGTCCACGAGCCGCTCCAGTCTGCCTCACAGCCATACTTCACATGGCTTTGTCCCCTTTCAAAGTACCATCTTGTCCTAAAAGGACACAAGTCACTGGAAAATAGGGCCCACCCTAATTCACCATGATCTCATTTTAACTACTTCTGAAGAGACCCTATTTCCATATAAAGTCATATTCTGAGATTCTGGGCTGATGTATGTTTTTAGAATACTGTTCAGTATAGTACATTGAATTTAAAACCATTCATATACACACACACACACAAATATCTACTGGGTTGGGGCTATAGCTCAGTGGCACAAGTGCCTGCCTGGCAAGCACAAGGTCTGGAGTTCAATTCCTGGTACCCCACTCCCCCGAAACACCTACCTAGGGCTCATTCTTTAGTCTCTTAAACTAATTTGGTGAGGGACTATGTAATAAAAATGTATTAAAATGAATTTAATAAATAGTATATTTTAAAGGATACTTGTATTTTCTTTTCTTTAGCCCTAATTAAATATGCAGTTGTTCTTAACACACTTAACTTTTTTCTCAAGTTAAATCCAGTCTTTTTTCCTCCACCTGACACCTGTGTCCCTACTTCCAAAAATGTCCTAATGCACTGAAAGTGCGTATAGTTATGAGTGATTCTGGACTTCCTCTAAAGACCACCCAAAAAAGTGTTAACTCAGGGAACTCTGCTGATTGCCACAAATTTTCCTTTGTTGAATAGTTAGACTTGTTACCTTGTGAACACTGATATAATTTGAGAACTCTACGAAGCATTTATGGTTACTCAGACTTCATTTGAAGTCTTTTTGTGTTACTTGTGCATGGGAGACATGCTAGTAAAATTTTAAGATACACTGCCACTAGAGCAGGGCATTGACTTCTACACCAGTGTTTGTCAGCTGGAAGTTTTCCTGCCAGGACATACATGGTGATGTCTCGAGGTAGTCTTTTGGTGTCATAACCAGGAGGATGAAGTTGACATCTATTGAGCAGAGACCAGAGATGTTGCTAGATTTTCTGTAGTCATCAGAGCAAAGCATTAGCCAAAGAAAATCTTGTTCTGCACTAATTGTAATTTTTAGTACATTGTGCTATTCTGTAAGTTTATTACTTCTGTTTTCTCTAATATTTTAGAAAATAGAAAACAAAAAGCATTTGAAGGAAGAAAAAAATCTTTTACCAGTGTCACAAACTAGCCAAATACTTGCTTGAAAAAAAGTCTATAGAGGTCATTTATGCAGGAGATGCACCAGAGATGATGAGAACTTTAGTTGCTAATTGGGGCTAATATTCATAGCTTTCTATATGGCTCAGTAGTTACCAAGTTTATAATTTTAGAACTGTTGGTTTACTTAAAGTGTTATCAAGTCTAAGGAAACTGACAGTCAAAGAAGATAGTTTGTAAATCAGAATGTCTTTATTTGGAACACGAAATGTAACTAACAGTCACCTCTGGAGTTACCAAGTTAGAATATCCTTTTTTACTTGTTATTTATGTTTATTTTTTTATAACGTGTTTTGGTTCCATATTTTTTAATTTATTGAATTGCTCCCAAAAGTTATTTCGTTGGACTTAGTTGTATATTACACTTTCAGCTTCCTTATGTGGCACAGGAAGTACCTTAATTTCATTAGGAATGTGTTCTCAGATCACATGGAACGTGTTACTTTAGGGAACATGATCTTTGCAAAGCTTATTTGTATGTGTGACTTCCTGTGACAGTTTTTATGGTATATGACTTCTCCTACCTATCTAGCCTAAGTATTTGTCTTTAGGATATTGCTTTCTGTCCACTATCCAGAAAATTTTTTCTTTGATTTTTAGTGAATTCTTTGCTGACTCGGAACACTTTGCTTCCAAATTGCTTTTCTCCTTTACTACATGGTATTGCAGTAAGAGATATAGGGGGCCCTTTCAACAGTTATGTTAAGTCATTGTTTTTACAACTGTGAATAAGTCCTATTTGTTCAGATCCCAACTCTAGGCTGTTCTTTCTGTGTGTGTCTTACAGTTTCTCTAATATGTGTTGCCTGGGAAACTGCAAGATTGAATTTGCACTTATTTTTCAAACTTGGAGGGTAGAGCATTGCTTCTAATAGATTCTCAAATATTCTTTAGGTGGTGACCTGTTTTAAAGAACTCAAGACAGTAATTCAGTGTTCCGAGTCAGCTGTCTTCTCTTCTTGTTCTGTATGTGCTTTTCCTGGCTAATCTCAGCTACTCTAGCTTTAGCTGCCACCTATATTATACTGTTCCAGTCTACATCTCTTCCTTAGATCTGTAGGCCTAAAACACTTGTCAGAAGTCTCCATATGTGTCAGTGTGCTACAGTTTGAATTCTTAGTCCTTTTTCCTGTAGCTGTTCTCCTTTGGACACTGTTTCAGTCAGCAGCTTCGTGATTCACATACGCATTCTGACCAGAAGACGCTTTCTCATCTGTTATGTTATCTGGCTACCTATTACCTAGTGGTTTTCAACTCAGGACACTTTTGCACCCCAGTAGACATTCTGCATTTTGTTGTCACGTTGGGGGTGGGGTTGGTAGTGGGATATAGTGGTTAAGGCCACGGATGCTGCAGATGCTCTACAGAACACAGGAAAAAACCTTTTTGCTTTTAGTTCAGTAAAATGTCAAAGGGGCAAAGTTGTGACCCCTTGCTCTTGTCTTCACAAGAGGGTCAACCACCTCTCCTACCTCCATGGTTTAGCCATGTTTTCTCCATGTCTTAAAGTCCATAACACTCAGGCATGGTGCACGCCTATAATCCCAGCATTTGGGAGGCTGAGGCCGGTGGATTGCTACAAGTTTGAGCCCAGCCTAGGCAATGTAGTGAGGTTAAGGCTAGCCTGAACTACATAGTGAAACCCTGACTCAAAAAATAAAAAACAAAACAAAAAAGCCCACAAAGAATTTCACACTGGTTCATGCTTTTTTTTTTTTTTGGTTTTTCTCCGGTACCGAGAACCGAACTCACGACCTTGCGCTTGCCAGGCAGGCGCTTTTTGATTCTTTTTTCCTTTTGCAGTTTCTTTTGCCTGGAATTCTGTGGGGCAGCCTCCTAAATTCAAATTTTTTTTATGTCATTTGTATTATGCTTTAAAGATTTTTTGGGGCAGGGCATTCTATATCTTTGCATCCCTGGTGATTTGCCCATAGTACTGGGTTTTATAGGCAGTGAATAAAGGATAGCATCAACTGTCCTGCACACAGTTTTACTCATTTGCCTTTTTTTTCTTTCACAGTACTGAGGATATAACCTAGGGCTTTCACACTGGGCTATACCACTAGTCCTTTTTTTATTTTTTGAGACCAGGTCTCACTAAGGTGCCCCAGCCTGGGTTCTTAGTGTTTGATCCTCCTGCCTCAGTCTCCTGGAGTGCTAGCAGATTACAGGTGTATACCACCACGTCCAGATCACAATTTAACTTTTAAATCGGAAGATTCTTCATTCTCTGGTATTTTCTCATACTATCCTTGTGAAGTTAAAGTTAACATAGTACAATAATACAGATGTAAAAAAGCAGAAGTCATCCAGCAAGTACCTAGAATTAGCTGTGCTTTTAAATATTGTCTCTGTTTGATGTTGTGTTTAACTTTGGTGTCCTTAACACTTTTTTTTCCCCCATCTTTAGATATCACACTTCAGTGGCTTATTCAACATTCAAAATCTAGAAGAAGCTGAAACATCTCCTGAAGTCTTCCAGTCCTTCTTGGCTATAACCCTAGAATTATTATCCGTTCCTCTGAAGTACTTCCCAGAATATGGTCCTTCCTAAACCTAAGAAATTGCCTTTTTCAGAGTTTATTTCTCATGTGCACTGCTGAAGATGTGTAACCCTTTCCTTTATAAAGAATCATCTAGAGTTGTCATGATAAAGTCAGCATACACAAAAAGACTTCTCACACATACTGTACTTGTGTTAAACAGTGTGTAGAGCTTTTTTTGTTTGTTTTTATTTTTACAAAAAGAATGCATACTTTTCACCATCTTAAATGCAGAAAGTTGCATATTTCCATCTGGTCTTTCCAGGCCAGATTTTTATATTGGTTTTCAGTAAATGTCTATATTTCATTATAGAGCCCAGTAGCTTAATACTGATAATGACTTGATACAGCATGAAATTTTAGTGCCACACACAGTATTTAGAAAACCTTTTAAGCCTGATTAATGTGAGATGTAAACATAATGTTTATCTCATCTCACAAATGCATGTGAAATGTATAATTACATCTTAGGAATTAAAAAGTGGTCTGCAAGCAGGTAGCAGAGGCATCATATATGTGTTGCTGGTTCTTTATACTGGAGAGTTCCTACCTGATGAATTTTACAAACATTCTGCTTTCTGAGAATCCTTTATCAGAGATGACAGTTGGGAGTGTGGGAGGAGGTAATGCATGCTGTTTTGTATCTGCCCAGATCATAAATTTTTTTTAAACTTTTTTTTCCTTTCAGTACACTTTTTTAAGGGGTTGGGAACTGAAGATTTTCTCAAAAGCTTTCATGAATTTAGAGTATTCTAGCCAATATAATAAAGCCTGTTAAGAATGTCAGACTTTGTTCAAATACCTGTTCTTTCTATCTCCAGTCATTAAGTCAGTGCTGCTGCATGACATTTTAACCCTTGACTTTTTATATCCAGTCATGAAGTTGACTTTCAGCACAAAAGACACTTATAAACAGATAAAATTCTTATTTTTTTCTTACTGATGTAAGATTTGGCACTCTTTTGTCTGGTGCCGTTAGACGTCTTGATTATTGTGACAACTCTAGACCTGCCTGCTTTGTCTAACATAATCATGTACAGTGTCTACAGCTTGGTTAATAGTCAATCGCACAGAGAACTGAGGAACTGATGCTGTTTATTGTTTGCTTCTATGATACAGAAATGTATACAAACTTAAAATGAACATATTTTATAGTTTAGTGATCTCCATATACATAAAGGGACATATTACTACTGGTTCACTTGTAAATTGTTATTCATACAGATGGCTGTAGTACATATAACGCTGGTACACCTGCTTATATGTTGCCTCACACTGTGTGTGATTTTGTTTCTTGTTTTAAGCACCACTTATGTAGACAGTGCATTTTCAGATGTGTTGAACACTCAGAGTGTAGTCAACAGTAATTCTTTTAATGAATACCAGTTTTAATTTATAGACTGCCATGGCCTTAAAAATATTCTGTACAAAATACTGCACTGTATTGCACAGACACTACTTGTTTTTCTTCATTTACATTTTTACTGAGGAGAATCTGGGCTTTAAAAGTTCTCTTCTTATTTTTTGAGGCATGTTGCATACTTCCCAAATAGGATGGGTGGTTCTATAAATGAAGGGATATTTAGACTTGCTACCATAGTTCATTGGTCATTGGGACCCATTATAAACAACGTGGGAATTTGTGCCTAAAAAGAGGAATTGGAACTACAACGTGTGACTATGTGGGGACTGCCGAGGTTTGGTAACTGACCTATAGTCCCTAATGTGTTTGTGTGTCTGTTCATTGCTTTCAGCATTTCAAGACATCTAAGTGCTTCTACCAACATTCTCCTGTGCATAACCTTTGCATGTGAAAACTTAACAGTTATTGAACTTTGTAAATAAGTAAATTTTATTTAGGTGGATGCATTTTTTCGTCTATTTACTGCTTTTCTCAGCTTTATTCAATAAAATTGCATTTTGAGGGTTGAACTTAGCAATTTTAAATGTGCATCATGATGGGCGGTGCAGACTCTTTTTGGAAAAGGATAGCAGGAAAATTACCATGAGGGGAGGAAGGGCTGTAGACCATGTGCTAGAGAGAAATCGACTCAGCCCTCAAAAGAGTTGGGTGTGAGGGCTAGTTAAAATAGAAATAAACTGTTAAAATATCCAGAGTGGATACTGTGATTCTTTTGGAGGGAAGGGGATGCTACTACTTTTAAAAAGTTTCGTCATGATACATGAAATGTGGGACTTTTAAGTGGCTGGAGTTGGTAACACACTTTGTAGTCCAGTTTTTAAAATCAAGGGAAAGTCCTACTAATAAACTAAAATTGCAAGACATGCCTGCTTAAATAAAAATATTTTAACTAAAAATATTTTCAGTGTGGAGGTTTTTCCACAGACGCACATTTTTTAGAATAAAGCATTTGGTCCATTTTGCTAGGATGTTATTTATTGTCTGTACCATGAATCAGTATTTATCTCATCAAAGCTTTTGGAAACATAACCCGGTAAAGTTTTTTACTTTGTAAAGTTCGTTTGGCTTTCTCTATGTTCATGGTGTCATTCTGCATAGCCAACCCTAATTGGACGTGTGATTTAGCAGTTCCATCCATAGGAATTTTTTTTGCTGTATTGGTGGAGCCATTTAGTCCAGCTGGTCCCTTTTCTTTTTTATCATATTTTATTAGTACATGTTAATATTACATGGTGATGGGGTTTATTTCTAGAAGTTGGTACATGCAATTAACAAATTATTTGGTTCCTCCTCACCAGTCTGTTGGAGTGTGGGAGGTGGGAGAGGGGTTATTGAACATACGCATGTAGATTAATTCTGTGTATCTTTGTATCTGCTTTTAAATTTTTTTATTTTGATGCTGGCAATTAAACTTAGGGCCCTGGCACTGAGCTGCATCCCAAAACCTTTAAAGTTTTTTCTTGTTTTAAATACTGAGGCAGAGTTGCTAAGTTGCCCAGGCTGGGCTGGAATTTATGATCCTCTAGTATCAGCCTCCGATAGTGATGGTTGGAGTGTAAGCATGCACCACCACACCCAGCTCAAAAAACAGACTTCTAAAATTATTCCCTTTGATTCTGTCATGTAAATTGGATGTTTTGGGCCCTGCCTGCTTTTGTGTACACTGATTTTTATTATTTTATTTTTTTGACATAGGAATTAATTGCCTGCCTATTCTGTCCATGTAGAGTGAGTTACACTGGAATTGTATTGATATGTTAATTCTAGCCTCCGGAAAAAGTTCCGTTGGGTTGCTCATTGGAATGGAAATTTAAATGTAGTGTAGCAGGCACCATATTGTAACATTCAACTGGCCAAATGCTTTATTCTAAAAATGTATGCCACTGCAGGGAAATTCAGGTTTGGTTTTCTTTTTTTTTTTTTTTTTTCAGGTTTGGTTTTCAAAATATTTTCATTTTATTGCAAACTTTTAAGATCATGCCCTCAAAAAAGCATATGCCGGTGAAGAGACTTGAAAAGGAAGACAGTAAAGTAAACTAGCCTCACAGACTTCCTGTAAGTTTGCTGTTCTACAAGTGTGCAGCCCATTGCAGGTGTTTCCTGTTGGTTGGTAAATATCCTCCATGCAATTTCTGTTTAAAATTCAGCTGTTAATAAAAATGAGTACTCTTGCCACTGGTGCCTCTTGGGTGTTCATTGACATACGAGATGGGCTATAGTAGACAGTTCCTTAATCTTAGCAGTAGCAGTAGTCATTCATTTTTCTGGTTCATTAGTAATCCCTCTCTTTAGTAAGCCTAAAATCCCAAGGCAGCTGGCTTTTGGGTAATACAAATTTCCCAGCAGGAATCAGGAGCGGGAAAGATGCCTTAGCTTTATTTTACTAGCATCACCAAGTTTTGCATTAATAAAAGGAAAAGATGTGGGAAATTTAATTTAAAAAGCTAATATAGCTTGGTTCTGTGAAGAGTGTTGGATTTGCACTGAAGAAAATGGGTTTTCTTTGCTCTTAAATAATGGGGTGGCTGATGGGTTGCTGAAAACCCTTGGTGCCTTTGTAGAGAGAATTTCTAATACAATTTTCCCCAGTAACAGGCTATGGTTCTAGTAATCTAGAGAACTGGACAGTGGTTAAGGAGATGAGAAAATGCCCCCTTCGTTGACAGAATGTGTTCTCATGTTCCTTCTGCTTGAAAATAAAAAGTTATTTACTTTTTTTTTTTAAAGCTGCAGACCCACCTGATACATTTTTCTATCAATTTTAACATAGGTAAGGGCTAGATATCATAGGTATTTTACAGAATGGTAACAGTTGAGGTTTTATTTGAAGGAATTACTCTATACAAAGCTATTCTGTAGATGGGGAGGCATTTATATATTTTGAAGTTTTTTTTTTTTTCCCAGGCTGCAGAAAAGCAGTGACATACACTCTGAAAAAGCATTAACTACCAGTTTGGGAGTCAGTGGTTTAGAGGTAATATTTAACACTTTAAAACTGCTTACATTCTGCTTGAATTTATTTAGAGCTTTAGAGAAACCTAGAACAGTTGGAAAATACTTTCAAAATAAAGGAGGGGAGTCAGCAAAACGTATGTTATTATTTTTTGAATGTGGGAAGTAGAACATTAACCAGTTGCTAACTGTAGTGCCTTCTTCACCCACTTCTGCTATCTTCTACAGCTTTGGCCTACAATGTTGTACCCTTCTGTAGCACACACTGTGCTATCTTATTTCTACATGTTAAGGGAATCTGTCATTCCTGTTTACTCTTTACCCAGTGCAAGAGTTAAAGACCTTTTGGAAAATTCAAATTATTTTGTGTACTATTAGCTAATTCATGAAATTAGCCTCCCTCACCATTGACCAGCAGGGTTAAGAATTTGTATCATTTTTTCTTTCCATGGAACCATCAGTACCCTATAAACGTACACACGTGGCAATGAGAGCAAATCTTTTAGAGCTTCCAGTGATAGCAGCCTGCCTTGGTGTGTATGCTATAGCTTCACCACCATAGATAGGATGAATATCAGTTTATGATGGATAGATGGATGGTACATTTGATTTAGTGGCATGGTACTTACAGCAAAGAGAAACCTAATACTTTTAAAGTTTTATTTCTGAATAAATTAACTTTTAATAGGTAAGTCACATGATTCAGAAATTTTAATTTCACAAAGCCATTGCCTTGATCCTTGTATCTAATCCTGCCTGCCTGGTATTTAGAGATATCATGTCAGTTTATTTTTCTAGTATTTTTTCATACAAAATACAACAAATACAAATATATATATCTCTTTTCCTGCATATACCTACCTTGCATAAAAAGCATGCTGAGTCAAACATGGCTTTTCTCCACTGTGCCCTGGCTGTCTTTGCTTGTCAATACACTGAGTTCCTCAGCCTCATGCCTGCCATTTGAGGGGTGGTTTTCATCCTGTGAAGATTCTATAATTTACTTAACAGCTACCATGTGATGTTTTGCTTTTATAACACCCCTGTAGTGAATCCTTTTGTACGTGTGTGTAGCAATTTACAGAAACATCTGAGTCAAAGGGTGTTGTATTTGTACTTAAGATAGGGATTGACTTTCATAGAGGATATAATTGCCAGTTTGTCCCCCTTTTTTTTATTTTATTTTATTTTATTTTTTTTTGGTATTTCGAGACAAGGTCTTGCTATATAGTTAAGACTGGCCTTGAACTCATGTAGTCCTAGGTGCCCTTAAACTCACAGTGATTCTCCTGCCTCACCCTCTCAAGTACTGGGATTGTGGGGATGTGCTGCCACACCTGGCCCATCCCCCATGTCTTGGTCAATGACAGACTTGGATTTGTGTTCATCAGATAGGTGGGAACTGTAATCACATTGTGTGTGTGTGTGTGTGTATGTGTGTGTGTATGAAAGAGTCTTGCTATGTAGTTGAGGGTGCCTTTGAACTCTAGCAAACTCATGGTGATCCTTCTTTCTCAGCCTTCCAGGTGCAGAGATTGTAGGTAATGTGCCATCACTCCTGCCTACGTACTGTTCTATTTTAGATCATTTTTTAAATTTAGCTTTTACAGAATTTGGAAAATAATGTTAACTTTATTCCGGATTTGGGTCTTCACTAAATCATATGGAGAAACCCCTTGTTCCTTTTTTTGCTCTTACAATTGTTCCCTCTATCATACAGCTTCTTGGAGTTTGTTTTTTTCAGTTTTTTGAGACAGTCTAAATATGTAGTTCATTCTGGCCTTGCACTCACTGTCTTTAATCTATCTTTAAAAGTGTTTGATTTTTTTTTCCACATTACTTTGGATAAATTATTTTGTAACTTACAGAAGAAAAATATATTCTTTTGGTAGACTATTTTAACTCTGGCATTAAACTTAAGGAGCTTTCTGATTATCCTTGGAGGTCATCATAGAACCTTTTACTTGCAGTTCTAGTAACCTAGTGCATTGATTTTCATGCAGATTCACAAGAATTGTTTTAAAGGGCTGGGGATGGAACTCAGCCTTGTACATGGGCTGTATCTCCGAGCTATAGTTCCAGCTCCCAGATGCAAGACTGATTCTAAGAAATGGAATGTTGGCCTTTGCACAGTGAAGGGTATCTGCAAAGGCATTGGTTAACATGTTAACCGGGTCACCACCTTCCAGGTACGAAAGCAGGGAGATTCAACTAGGGTCATTTTCACTTTCTGAACCCGGCCCTAGCTCAAAACTGTGCCTTTTGGGGCAGTAATGTCAACATTATTACCCAGTGGTGGCATGGAATCTGAAGGAGGTCTTTCTTTGCTTGAGGGCTAGTGTTAGGGCTTGTGTCTACATGTCCCTACAAAGCCTGGGGTCACTGGTGGGACTTTTCAGAAGTGGCTGGATTTACGGTGTGTCCTGCTGGGAATAAAGGTGCCCTACACTTGAGTCTGAATGTCTCCTGCCCTGAGAGTGGGTAACCTGGGTGGAATTTAAGGGGCAGAAAAGGGCTTCTGCCATCTTCTGGCTTCTGCTGCTTTTTGCCTTCACTGTTTTGCTACATTCTGCTCGCGGTGAACTGTTTGTCCTCTGCCCTGCCCCTCTGCCAAGCCACCCAGCCTTGGAGTCAGCCAGCTTTGGACTGAAACTTTTACAAACTGCGAGCCAAATAAACCTTTCTTCCTTTCACTTTGTGTAGTATTTTGTCTTGGTAATGAGAAAACTAACTAAGACAGTCAGCTGTTTGTAATGTAAATTGTCTTGGGCTAAAGTGTGAGAAACTGGGACCAGTTAGCTATTTTTTGCCTGGAGCCAGCAAACTTTGGGAATTGAGCGCCTAACCTGATTGTATTGTGGAACAGACTCTACAATATTTTCTGTGACGGCTAAATGAGGACACCTGTGAGAGTATCTTCAAAACTGTAAAACCTAGACCATGAGCAGCTATTGTCAGTTTTGCCAGGAAGAACATCTTAGAGAAGCGGGAATGTTTTCTCTGGTGACCAGAGATTTATTTTATTAAAGCTTTTCTTTAATGTGAGGCAGAACATGTCATTAATGTAGTCTACTGTTAGTTGCAGTGCAAGACAGGTTTAAGTTAAAATTTGCAGGAAAGTGGCCTAGGAAGGAAACAATGTGCAACTTCACATTGTTTTCAAGTTCTAGGCAGGCAGAATGTGAAGGGATCGAGGGCTGTGGTTGGCTGCCGGCAGGGTCGTAAGGCACCCCTGATAGATTCGGAAAACGGAATCTGTCATCAGAAGATGACTCAAGCTCTGTATTTTGGGGGAAGAAAAGAAAGTTCATCCAACAAAGAGAACATTAGTTACTGCATGCCAGCTACCATGTGTTTTAATCAAGTGTCTCTTTAGAGTTCCCATCACAGCTCCTTGGTATTACAAAGTCCCCTGATCCTAAAAATATGATGACAGTATTATGTGGCAATTTATCATCATTTTAATCACTCCGTTGGCCACTCAACTCAACTCAAGCTAATTTTTGATTTGAGGAATCCATTCAGGTCTTACTTCCCAAGCTTTTCAGAAACCCTGCTTTGACAGACACGTAGTGTAAATTGTGGAAGGGCTAAGTTTACAGGCATTTAAAATCTCTAAAGTGTCAATCCCTTACAAGAAAACCAAAGCCTTTAAGAGCTGATTACAACCTCCTTAATTATAAGTAGTAGATACAGAGGGGTAGTGATTTAACACCGAATCTATCTCACAAAGGTTAGGCCATTGCTGCCCTGAACAGGGGAAGATTGTATTTCCAAGGCAAGGAAAATATAACAGTATTTCCAGAAATTGTTACGTCCCAAGAATCGCGAAAGAACATTTGTAAAACACTGTTCCCAGAAGCCTCTACTTGGAATTCGATAGGTCTGCGATGGGATCTGGGAATATGAGTTTTATTTATTCATTCTGACGTTTGCTTTTTGAGACAAGGTCTGGCATTGTAATCCGGGCTGGCTTTGAACTCACTGTGTATCTTGGAGCGCTGAGATTACAGGGTTGGCCACGAAGATCGGCTTTGGGAATGTGTTTTAGAAACACTACACAGTGATTCTTCCAAGTTAGGACGTTCTAATAAAAAGAGCAGATTTTGGGTTACGGTTTTGTGCAGGCTTTGAACTAAAAAAAGGGTTGTCCCACTCCCCTACTACGCACCCTCAAAAACCCTGACCTGGATATGTATGCAAACGTAACTCTTTTTATACAGAAATGTTCCTTTTCTTCCTCTTTTCCTCGTGTGTCACTCCTAAGCTAGACCGAGAGCAGCTTTTTCCTGTCCATCTAGAGACAAGATCTACCCAAGATCCTACAGGTCAAGGGCCACGTCGGTGGCTGTCGGGGCGCTCCCGTGCCGCACCCTCATTGGCTGGAAGTTCCCTCGCCCCGAGCCGGCGAGACCGCAGCGCGCCACGCCAGCCGGCTCGGAGCGCGGACCGCCCAGGGGGCGGGGCG